TGTTGTTAAAGTTCTGCTGTCCTGGGCTCGGCCTCTTGTTTTTAAGATCGTATCTCCTTTTGTTGTCCAGGCTAATCTAAAATTAGTGATCATCCTCCTGCTTCAGCCTCCTTAGAAACGAAGTAGCAAGTGTGAGATACCATGTCAGGCTTCTTGACTAATTGAAAACAATATCTGTGCTCTGGTTATAAATTTTATAAATGAAATGATTGATTTTTAAAAATTTGCCTAAGATACCACTTTGCATTTGGTAAAGATCAAGCTATACTAAGGAGTCTGGCTCCAAAGTCCTCAGCAATAAACTACGTTTTCCTAAAATACATGCTATGGCTTCTTTTGTTTTCTTTTTGAGGGGCTGGGCATCAGTCCTAGGCTGTCATGCCTGCTGGGTGTGGCTCTACTGCCTGGCTGCACCCCCCGGTCTGCAGTATGATCTACAGAGGAATGCTAAGTTTTCTGTCTGAAAAATCATCAACAGACAGGCTGTTGATGCTGGTTATAACACAGGCCTGTATCTACAGTCAGGTTGTGGTTCAGGCTTAGAGCATCCAGTTGGGGCCTCGGAATGGAACTCCCAGGCTTGACCTCTAACCTTGGTTTCTTGTTTGTTTTTATAGTCCCCCCCAACTACCCCTCCTCCCACCCCACAGCCCCGAACACCAGCACGGTTTTCTTTTCTGCTAGTGGCATTTATAAAGTAGATTTCATACTTGGACTCTGCTATAGTTTTTCTCTGGTTGTTCGCTTCTTCTTGCTTGAACGTGACCACGGAGGGGTCTGAAGCACATATCTCTGGTGCAGAGCCAGCTCGGGAACACCTGGGTCGTTCCTCTCATTTCCTGTTGCTACAGAGCTCTGGAGAGGCCTCTGGGGATGGGGGTTTGTGCAGGGGGCCAGAGCAGGGAACCGTGATACATCAGAGAATGTGCGGAATCAGGGTGTGCTGAGTCATCCTCGAAGGCTCATAGGCCACAGTGACTGTGCCACCGAAGGGACACGGCTGTGCTGTGAAACTGCTGTAGATTTCAAGGATTGGTCGAGTCAGGAAGTTTTTTTTGCCAATAAAAAGCCTATAATAAGTGAGATACCTTCCTGGTGAATGTCAGTGTTGATCATCATTAAAATGCTCCAGCTCTGTTCCCATAAAACAATCAAGTGGTGCAGTGTTTCCCTCCTCTCTGGGCTCTGGGGCCTTCTCCAGACTTGATGAGGCTTAGATAACAGATCCGATAAACCCATTCGTTTCCGGAGTCTCTTGCTGCCCCGTGCACAAATTGGCACAGACTTGATGATTCGTCACTGAGGTTCGCCTCTCAGCGCATCCTTAGCTTCCGAATTTGAGATCCTGGCGAGGACCAGCAGACAGTTGGGAATGTGTCCGAGCCAAAACCCGGCTCCTGTCTCCTCTGGCACTCGGCCAGAAACCTCAGTGGTACAATTGGTTAGCAAGGTTGCAGCGGGACCTTTGAGCTTCCTGGGGTTTCCTTCCATTGTTCCAAACATGAGTCACATGACTTCTGGAATCAGAGAGAGGGTGAATTTCACTCTGGCCAGAAAAATGATCTCTTCCTTCCCTGAAACACACGTATGCTCACAGTCAAAGGGCCATCCTAATGGTAAGTCCTTAAGGGATTGTGCCAGCATGTTCTCTCCGTGTGTTTCATACCTGTAGCAATTAGTGGAGGGTGTGTTCATGGGAACTGTCATTATTTCCTGCTTGTACTTTAATTGAAACAGCTTTGAAGCGGGTTAGTGCTTCTTGGTGCTCTGGAAGACACTGCTGTTCTGGGTGCTGAGCTCAGATCCAGTCTGAGCTCTTCTTGCACGTCGGAGGACTGTGTTAATCCCTGTCTCACGGCTGTGACAAAATGCCCGACGAAGGCAACTTAAGGAAGGAAGGATTTATTTTGGCTCAAGTCCCAGGGCACAGTCCATTGTGGCAGGAAGTCGTGGCAGCAGTACCTCAAAGCAGCTGGTCCCATTCCATCCACAGGCAGGAAGCAGAGGGAGATTCAGAATGCTGATGCTCAGCTCCTTTGCTCCTTTTTAGTTCGTCTGGCAGTTCGGACAGGTCTTCCCACCTCAATTAACCTCATCTACAAAATCCATCACAGACATGCCCGGAGATTTGTCTCCGAGGTGATCCTGCATCCTGTCAAATCGACAATCAATATAAACCGTGGGACCCGTGCTCCTCCTCACAGGAAGGAGCTTGGGATCACACAGTCGGTTGCAGATGAAGTAGATGGCAGGCATCCAGAGCCCTGACCTTCGCTGGGAGCAGAGCTGTTGTGGAATATAAAGCTATATCAGGGGCTGACAGAAAGCTTTCTGTTCTTTTTCCTTCTTTTTTTTTTTAAGGTCCTCTCAGGAGGGGGAGGCTGGGATGGTGGGGAAATCAAGTAATTGTGCCTGAATGACTTTCAGTGTTGGCCCTTACACTTCTGACAGCCGCTTCCGGGGATAGGTAATTCCTGTTGTGTTGTAGGTGACTTCATTTGTCTCCTTCTCTCCAGCCAGGCCAGTCACTCCTGTCTGCTCCCCAATCAGCCTTCCTCAAGCCCCCATCTGTCTGGTGCTGGCATCATTTGTCAGATCCTTATTACAGTCACCTCAAAATCGCCCTTTTGGGGAGATGCCCAGGCTAACAGACTAACTTCATCAGCTCTGCACATGACATCACAGTGGTACTTTCAAGTTTCACAGGCAGGCTGGTGGATTGCTAGCTGCGCAGAAAAGTAAAGCGTGGGACATGTTCTGATTTCAACTCCAAGTCCATTGCAGAGCCAGGTCACTTCTCAGCCATCCAGCATGCAGTGTGTGTGAGGCCCGCCTCTGCTCTGTGCTTTCAGCTGGGAATCAGCTCACCCACTGAACCATCAGTGGCTCAGTTTGGGGCTGTCCTTGACTAGTGGTCATTTTACTCATGCGGTCACCTCGATATTTATCAGGGAATATTAACCAGATCCCCCCAAGCATGTCTGAAGGTAGGCTTTCAAAGAGGAAGCAAGAGCTATTTATCTAGGTAGTAGGGGATCTGCTTTCAACAAAGAACCATTCATAAGTTCATTGATACACTTGTCAACTTTTCAGTGGACAACGTCTGTGTCCGGGCACTCCTTAGGTGCTAAGATCACCCTGGTAAACAAAATAGTGAAAAGCTTTTGGCCCTCATTTTCTATTACCAGTTCCAACATTTTCCTTAGATATCCTGAGTCCCTATAAACTATTTTTAAATGATAGTGGTGTCTTGTAATGAGAACAGTTATATATATTGTATTCCCCTGTGATTGTAATTCTCAGTAGGATTTTTCTACGTGGCTTTCTACCTTCTTCTTTCACCTTGTGGGTATACAGGCAGTGCTTAGACAAAGGAGGAGGACCCCAGATTATCACCCGGTCTGATAATCATCAAGAAGAGCATAAGAGGGGGCTGGAGAGATGGCTCAGTGGTCAAGAGCATTGGCTGCTCTTCCAGAGGTTCTGAGTTCAATTCCCAACAACCACATGGTGGCTCACAACCATCTCTAGTGGGATCTGATGCCCTCTTTTGGTATAAAGGCATACATGCAGATGGAGCACTCATAAATAAATCTTTTTTCTTTTCTTTTCTTTTTTTGGTTTTTCGAGACAGGGTTTCTCTTTGTAGTTTTGGTGCCTATCCTGGATCTCGCCCTGTAGACCAGGCTGGCCTTGAACTCACAGAGATCCACCTGGCTCTGCCTCCCAAGTGCTGGGATTAAATGCGTGTGCCAGTGCTACCCAGCAAATAAATCAATCTTTAACAACAGAAAAAGAGCATAAGAATTGAGGAATACACTTAATACTTGTGTGTATCTTTGCCCCCTCAAAGAGGTCTCCCTGTGTCATCTGTGCTGATTGGTCAAGGTCTAGCTTCCCACTGACCCTAACTCCCTTTGGAATTAGACGTGTTCTTTTTGTAAGAAAACAAGCATGATTCTACAATCGAGGGTACCGCTAAACAAGCACAGTGCCTAAGCCCCACCCCAAAGGGTCTTTCTCTTATCTTTCCCCTCTCCCCACTCGCTTCTGTCCTTCCTTCTAGAAGTTTCCATGTGTAGGCCAGACCCCTCCCACTTCCCACCTTCCTGCTTCAGCTTCTGAGTGCTGAGAGGGCATGCACGTGTCCCCTATGTGTCCCCCCACACACACCCCCATCTCAGGATGCTGATCTGGTGCGGCTCGGATGGGAGCCTGGAACCTGCTTTCTCAAAAAGGAGTGTGAAAGAAAGGCAGGCATCTTGTTGATGATGACGTGGATGGGTTTCTTTAGAAGGTTCTCAATGTTCTAGAACGTGGGAATATATTAATGGACCACTTACCCTGCGCCAAGCCCTAAGGCATGGCCTGCCTGTTAAGTTTTCATACCAAAATGTGGTGGTATTGTGGTCCCCAAAATATTGTGCACCCTAATAAACTTACCTGGGGTCAGAGAACAGAACAGCCACTAGATACAGAGGCCAGAAAATGGGCGCTCACTCCTTTAATCCTAGCACTCCAGAGGCAGCAATCCGTCTGGATCTCTGTGAGTTCAAGGCCACACTGGAAACAACCAGGCATGGTGACTCATGCCTTTAATCCCAGAAAATGATGGCAGGAAGCAGAAAGGTATATAAGGCGTGAGAACCAGGAACTAGAGCCTTGGTTAAGCTTTTAGGCTTTGAGCCGCAGTTCAGCTGAGATTCATTTTGGATGAGGACTCAGAGGCTTCCAGTTTGAGGAAACAGAATCAGCTGAGGAATTGGCAAGGTGAGGTGGCTGTGGCCTGTTCTGCTTCTCTGATCTTCCAGCATTCACCCCAATACCTGGCTCCAGGTTTGTTTTTATTAATAAGACCTTCTAAGATTCGTGCTACACCCAAGGTTGCCTCATGCTGATTTCATGCTCTGATAGTAATCCGAATCTGTGTACTGTGTATGTCTGCTGTAGGAGGAGGCTCTAAGCTTTTTCTAAACAGCGTCCTTGGGATGTCTCCACAGGCAATGGTGGCTTGCTATCCCGGAAATGGAACAGGTTACGTCCGCCATGTGGACAACCCCAATGGTGACGGCCGCTGTATCACCTGTATCTACTACCTGAATAAGAATTGGGACGCCAAGGTACTGTGGAATAATGGGGGAGGGGTGGGGTGGGTTATATAAGCCATAAAAAGTGCAAATAGGGGTTCACTGAGAAGAGCATGGCATTTCCAATTAGATGGAAACATTCAGGCAACTTTAGGAGAGTTATAGTTTCTAACAGTCTGTCTCCACTCTTTTATTTTTTACCTTTCCCCCATTTGTGGAATTAGGACCGAAGATGACGAGATTAAAGGCAGTGGCTATAACATTAATTTGGTGGGGGGAGGGAGGGTGATTGTGAAGGTCAGGGGTTAATGAGGGAGTTAATTCAACATTGGGAGGCAGAGCTGATGTGGTTCTCAGCTCAGCATGTAATGTACACCTTCCCCCCCACCCCCCAGCAGCAACACTGAGAGAGTTCCACAAAAATAGAACCGTGGGACATCGAACTGTCCCTGAGGAGGATTTCCCACATAGTCCTCTTTCTCAGGATGGTATGTCCCATAGGGAGCCATTTGTCGTGAATGGCAGAGGTTGTGTGGCTAATTTGTGGATGGTAGATGGTAGAGATGGAATGGCTAGAGATGTGAAGTTCATGTAACACTGTTTGACCCTTGTATACTGTCTGAAAGTTCAGAATGATTTAGGGGTCTGGGAAATCATAGAAGCTTGCTTAGCTTTTGAATCCTGTGCATCTCTGTTAGCTGTTCATTAGTGCAGGCTCTGGCAGGGTGATGTAATATTGTATCTCTCCTCTCTATTTGGTAGTAAGACTGGAACAGTTCCTTTAGGGCTTAAAAGTATCTTTTGAGATGCAATGTGAGCAGAGTTATTGGGCCAACAATAATAAAGGAGGAAGAATGAAATCAACAAATATTTGAGTTTCTGCCCGTGTTAGATGAGTGTTGTACAGAAACATTGATGTGTGAAGCCTGATTTCTACCCAGATGATTGTTCCAGTAGGACAAGTAGGTTGTACATATGAAAAAGAAAAAGCAGGTGCAGAGAGCGATAGGTGCCCCAAAAGGTATTGACAGCGTGGTGTGAGAGTTCAGGGAAGGGTCCACCAAGGAGGTCAGATGGGCATTTGAAGAACTCAGAGGAATTGTTATTGCAGGGGCAGCTGGATGTGGTGAGTGCTTAGACTTAGTATTTGAGGGAGCTATGAAATTGCTCAGGATTTGTCTGCTTGCTTTTTGGGGTTGATGAATTCTGACATGGACAGTTTTGTGTGATGCCCTCTGACTATGCGCTCTTTTGTCTCTGTGGCCTTCATGGCTGTGGGAGTGGGAAGATGCTGGTCTGAAGTGGATGAGGAATGTATGAAGCTAAGTCTGAGATAAGTTTAACTGCAGGGTATGAGGGGAGTGAATATTTAAACCCACTTAAAATTGAGGTAGAGGTGGCGTTTCTCTTCAATGGAGCTAACACATTCTTGCTGATAAACCTCATGTGAGACCAGGAAATAACTAAGTCTCTTCTTGGTCTTCAGTTACATGGAGGAGTTCTGCGGATATTTCCGGAAGGGAAATCATTCGTAGCAGATGTGGAGCCCATTTTTGATCGACTCCTATTCTTCTGGTCAGACCGCAGGAACCCACATGAAGTTCAGCCCTCCTATGCGACCAGGTAAGAGCTGGGGGCAGAGTTCCTCTTTGAGAACATGTATGAACCCTAGTTCCCTGAGAACTCTTAGAACTCATGTCCTGTACTTAGAAGTGCTGGTTGTACCCCCAAACTGATAGGTAAACCTATTTGGAGTAATAGAAATTGAAGGGGCTCTTTAGGATTCGGTAATATACAAACCTAACTTCAGTTTAAAGTAACTATTAACTTATTTTCTGTGTTGTACATACTGGACTTAGTTACTTAGCATGTTTTTTTCCCCTTTACTTCTGTCCCTTCCTCCTTCCCCTTAAGGGGAAGAAAAAAAGAGCTAACGTTGCTTGGGTGCAGTCTTGTAATACCAGCAGTCGAGTGTGAGCGGGAAGATTGAGAGTTCAGGGTAACACGAGCTAAGTGAGGCCCGGGGCCAGAACTGTCGAGGGGCAGATAGCAGCAGCAACGAAGACCTAATGGTGAACTAGCCCTGGTTATCACCTATCAAAAGTCCTGCTTCTGCCAGTGGATTTACAGTTTGTCAGTTTAAGCAAATGAAGAACCCCGGGAAAGGAAAGAATAATTTGTTCTGAATTCATTTCCTTTTTGCTCTTTCTGTTTGCCTGGGCTAACTTTATCCATGCCATAACAGTTGGATGTTATGGTTTTGCTTGCTCCATCTGTCCATCCATTCATTCATTTGTGAGACAGAGTTTCACGTCAGGCTGGCCTGGAACTCACCATGTAGCAGAGGATGACCTTGAGTATCTGACCTTGGCCTCCTGCCCCCACCTCCTGACTGCTGAGATTACAGGCATGCGCCGTTGCACACAGCTTTTGTGATGCCAGGGCGTTATGCACACTGCGCAACCACTCTAGGCTACAATTGAATGTTTTAAAATCCTTTTCTTTCTTTTCTTCCTTCCTTCCTTCCTCTCTTCCTCCTTAGCACGCGGATGTACAGATTTTGAGAGTCAGTGAACAGCTTAGAATTGTCTCATCTTAATCTAGAAAGCTCTGATAAAAATATTTATGTCTGCTTCTGCCTCCACTTCTCCGGTATCTCCCAGCAAGCGCTGCGGGCCAGGCAGAGCGTAGAGTGATGTAGACTGGGGCTCGTGCTGGGAGTAGCAGCGAGGCCGGGGAGAGCCGAGAAGGGCAGTGCTAAACCTTAACAAGCTTAACTCAAGGCCATCTACACGGCCCTCTAGACAGCTCCAATCCCCGGAGACCCAGATTTGGTCCCACTCTAATGTGCTCTGCACTAGCCGGCCATTAGCTCTTACCACTGAAGTCTATTTGTGGTTCGTTTTGTGGGGTTCAATAATAGAACCCTGTTTTGTGGCAGGATTCTCTGTTATTTCCTGGTCCCACTGTGACTCACGTCATAGGGAAAATATCAGCAAAAGTGGTTAGAAGCTCTTGGGGATTTTACTGAAAATTTTAATGGAAATTATTATGGCTAACAGTAAATACAAAAGTTGTAAAAATCCAAGCATGAGATAGCTCCAGTTACCGTCTGTCCTGTGGAGAGGATAAAGCAAGTAACAGGGGACAGTGGAAAAAACGCAAAGACATCAGTGCTGAACTGTGTCTTTTCACCAATGTCTAAAACTAAAGAGAGCAGGCCTCAAGTTAGAAAGATTCTGTGACTTGGGATATCTCCCCTTCTCGGTTCCCTTCCCGTGTCTTCAGCCTCCGTTTGTTAGCAGGACCAGTCTGCTGTGCAGATGGCTTCCCCAGTGCATCCTTCCCACTGGAGGCCAAGAGCTTCGAGAGCAGGTTCTAGTGAGAGAGTCATTGAAGTTCCAATGCCTGGCATGTGCCCGGAACTCACGTGTTACAGGCCGTTTATACAGACTTGAACCCAAAGGAAATGGTTTTAAATGCAAGTGGGAGTGGACTCCTGATAGGAGGTGGTTTTACAAGTGATTCTAATGTGAGCTTCACAGAGTAAACGTAAAGACTTGGGTGTTCTCTAATAGCATTGTGCTTGCCTCTCACAGGTACGCTATGACTGTCTGGTACTTTGATGCTGAAGAGAGGGCGGAAGCCAAAAAGAAATTCAGGAATTTAACTAGTATGTGTCTGATCATTTTCTGTGACTTTAGTGTTTTTCATATTACGATACACTGTTTAACCTCAGTTCTAATTCAGCTTCATATATAATGATATCTGAAACCTTGGCTTTCATGCTCTTAAAAAAATCAGAAGGAGGCCGGGCGTCGGTGGCGCACGCCTTTAATCCCAGCACTCGGGAGGCAGAGCCAGGCGGATCTCTGTGAGTTCGAGGCCAGCCTGGGCTACCAAGTGAGCTCCAGGAAAGGCGCAAAGCTACACAGAGAAACCCTGTCTCGAAAAACCAAAAAAAAAAAAAAAATCAGAAGGAAATGCAAGGGGCATTCCCCCCGCCCCAGGATGCTCACTGATCATGTGATGGTTTATAATAGATGGAAATAGCTTATTGTGAATGTTAATCAGTCATGTGCAATATAAAATTTTGTCCATGAATTTGGCATTTATACAGAATGTATAGTGGATCTTAGTTCCAGTAGCTAATTTATGTTGATGTGGGATTTGACTCAGTATAAAATATAAGTATATATAAAGTGCGCTCTTACCAAACCGATGTGACAACATCATTCCTGTCACCTCTAGCCAGCATTTATAAACCACACTTCTCAGAATCAGTTGCACTAAGATGAGCATGGTAGAACTAGCCTTTAGAGGCTGAGGCAGGAGGATCATGAGTTTGAGGTCAGCCTGATCTCTATACTAAGACCAAGTCTCCAACTCCCCCATGTCCTACCTCCCCAAAAAGTTGCACAGAAGTAGTACTTCTGCCAGGTTGGTTTATGAAAAGGTAGATTCCTGGCCCCCCAAATACAGGAAATGCTGTGTCTGTATCCTTCTTTCTGGTGATTGCACACCCAAGAACCTTACAGTAAGAGCTGGAGATGTAATTCGGAGGCAGAGAGCCTGCCTGTCTAACACACAGAATGTCCTGGGTGCAATTTTCTGCCCTGCCAAATAAATAAATGTGTGTTTGCACGAAGAAATGGGTGTAACTTTGCCTAACTCATGACCTGCTTGACCTCTATACCTATCAAATGCCAAGGAAGACACCTTTGCACAGTTCTATCAGGAATCTCAATTTATTTGCTTTATAAAATAGGACGTTGTTTAATAGAGGAGTGTGTGTGTGTGTGTGTGTGTGTGTGTGTGTGTGTGTGTGTGTAAGAGGGGGAGTGTGTGTGTGTGAGAGAGAGAGAGACTTGGTGACATAATTCATCAAATTTGACTTCCTTTCCTAACTCTTTTTTTCTTTCTTTCTTTCTTTCCTGTCCCCAACCCAGGGAAAAGCGAAGACTGACTGGTGTGTGAGATCCGCTGGCCCCGTTCATTTAGTAATGGTTCCTGAAATTCTAAGAGTCAAGAGCCAAAGAGTCTGTAAAATCCCCCTCCTGCCTCCATCATTCACATCCCTGTCTTGTTTGTGGTACTTCATGTTTTCTCGCCAGGACTGCGTTGACCTTCAGACACTCTCTTTGCCAGATGAACTCATTGGCTAACTTTAGAAATACCTGCCGACATCCTTATTGGCCAGCGGTTTTACTGATAGATTTGGGGGTACGGCTGTGGAGACAAGACCCCGGGAGCCAAGGAGTGACTCTTATTTGCACTTTATGTATACTTCTTGATTTGAAAGGAGGAGGTTTGCAAAACCCATGGGTGACAGATGCCATAAAGAGGCACCCTGAAACCCTAGCAGCAAGAAACAGATACACATCATCTCAACCATTTCCAGATGTTAACCCAAGACTGGACAGTTACAACAACCTAATGACATTATTACCTCTAGAAAGGGCTGCTGTCATCGTGATCAGTGTAGAAGTGTCCCATGGTGGACACGCCTTTTTCCTGGCCCTACAACCTGGACTTTCTAAATCAATGACTTTCTTGTTGAAGATGACACCACCATTATTCTCTATTTTTTTATTTCTTGCAGAGAATAAAAACTGGCCATGTAGTTTGGGTTGTTTTTCTGGTATTGAAATTGGAAGTTAAATCAAAGGACAGAAATCTTCCTGGTAGTTCAGCATTAGCTTCTGCTAACTGTGTGGGCAGAGCAAAGCCCTGCTGTACAATACCCATGTGTGTGGTGAACAGGTTGAGAAGAGAGACGTGATGGGAAGCGCGGGAAATCCCTTCCGTCAGTGTTCCTTTTAACCGTTCATAATTAGCAACGACAAAGAGCAGCGTGCTGTATTCTTGAAAGAGATTGGAAATGAAAAGATCTCAAAGCTGTTAGAGTTCTGCCCCCGCCAGCCTTCCTGTAGCCACCCGGACCCTTGAGAGCAACTGGTTGGTAGTGCGGCCGGACTTGTGGAATTTGCTAGAACTGTGGAAGGTTCTGCTGCCGCAGGATGCAGATGCCACTTCCTCCAGAACTCTGCACTTAGCGCCTGTTTTGCAAAAGTTACCCGTCCAAGTTTTTGCTTCTACCTCCCGTCTCTCAAACCTCTTTAATTTCTTGCTAGAATCCCACAAGCATCACAGACCCGGAAATGTTTTGTTTCATCGTGTTCAGATGTACAGACTTTCCAAGAAAGAAGCTGATATTTTTCCTTTAATCATTTTGGAAAGTGTCCAGAAAGACCTGCCATTGCCTCCCACCATGGCTCTGTTTTATTTTATTTAGTATCTTCCGCCTCTTCTAACTTACAATGTCACTTCCTTATTTATTATGTTATTGTCTTGTAGCCTGTGATGTCTAGAGTGTTAAGTACAACGAAGACAGGGATTTTGTACATTTTTGATCAATGCAACATATTCCCAGCACCTAACCCAATGCCTGGCACATAGCAAGGACTTAGTAAATACATGTCCAATAAACTCAGTCTCCTCCATAATGGTTTGAGTTATTTTTTTTGTCTTTAGCAAAAAAAAGGTTTATTGGATTTTACATCTATGTTTCTAGCCTTTAGACTGTTTGCATTTCTTTCTTTCTTGGATCTAGGACAACCCGTGGGTCATGACCTCTTTGGGGGTCAAACTACCATTTCCCAGGGGTTGCATATCAGATATTTGCATTACAATTCATAGCAGCAGCAAAATTACAGTTATGAAGGAACAATGAAAATTATTGTATGGTTTGGGGGTCACCACAACACGAGGAGCTGTATTAAAGGGTCGCAGCTTTAGGAAGGTTGAGAACCACTCCTCTGGGGCCTCGTCCAGCCCTGGCAAGCACTCTTCCACTGAGTTGTACCATCCTGGCCCCTGCCATTACTGTAAACTTAGGCTGACAGAGCTTTAGAGAGCTCTGGTTGGTCCCAGTGTCATTTCTTACCTGTTTGCCAGTGAGTAGGTCGTTCACAAGTGCCACCCAGCTGGGACTTGATCTGACTGGGATCGGAAAGAGAAAACGGGACAGACAGACATACGGACTGGGATCAGGTGGGCTGGGCTCACGCTGACCGGGCAGTATTACCTACACAACCGAGGAACCTTATTATGTACAGCACGGAAGCGGTTAGCTGGTCTCAGGGGGAGACCTCAGAAGGGGAGCTGTCTCGGGCTGCAGTCCTCTGAGAAGAAGCTGCACATCCTGTCGACATGAGGGCTTTCGCATCCTCCGGAGCCTCACCCATCCAGGGCAGGCTTTGCCATCCTGTGGGTCTGAGGCACTGGGTCCTTGACGTGGCCATGTTCATATCAACCTTCACTCGGGACTTCACCCGCGCTATACGCATGTACCCAGGGCTGCCTCCCACCACGCCCTGCTGCCTGGAGTAATGATTCCTTTGCAGTTTAGTGGCTGTGAAATACCTGCAGAGATGGTTTTTAAAAGTTCAGTGGCGGAGGAAGGTAGACGGGTTAGGCATCAAGCATTTCAGGCTCTGTAAAATCGCAAATAGCTTCTCAGGGTTACTAACACCTTAGAGTGATAGTGACAGTATTCTGAAGGAAAGTCACACCATCTAATCCCACACTCTGAACTGCTGACCTCACCCCTGAAGAGCACAAAAACTGATCATTATCATGTCCTCTCCTTTACCAAATACCGCCTCACCTTCTTTGACTTCCTGCCTACTGTGCAGCCGAACTCAAAAGACTAGGGGGAGCCAGCTCTAGGCTGTACTATATCCTGTGTGAGCATGTGTCTCTCGAGACCCCTGTTGAAACGTCAATCCCAATGCAACAGTACTAAGAGGTGGGCCATTTAGGTGATAAGGCCTTGGAGTTCAGTCCTGATGAAGGGTGTTGCCTTTAGAGAAGAGCTCTGAGGACTGGGTTCAGTCCTTCCCTCAGGCACGTCAGAGCAACAGAGTGCGTGTTGGAGAGAGACGATATAGCTCTTCTTCCACCCCGCAGCTCTTGGCACCTTAGCCTTAACTGGCCAAGTTCCTTTAGTACAAGAAGTCAATTTCTGAGGTTTATAAACGACTCAAAACAAGGCATTTTGTTAGAGAACAGGAAGATGGGCTCTATCTCCAGTGGCCACAGGAAGGACGTCTCTTGTGTCCGTGGGTCTCTGGACTCACAGGTTTTTCTTGATCCTTTTGAGCACTTCAACACTGTCCTTAGGAATCCAGCTTTCTGATGAGGGCCTCAGGGAAGTTGTGATGCATTTGTCTCCCTCTGGGGCTGATCACATGCTCAGGATATCATGGAAACAGCATTTTGTTAGGCACCCACAGTGTCAGTGAGAGCCCCCCCCCCCCCCCCCCCCTTTTTAGAAAATAAAGCGGGTGTGTGGCTGGCAGTTCCAAAACCTTTTGGTGGCATCCGTGGACACAGCCCGCCCTCCTTTAAAACTCACAGCTTAAAGCAAAGGGATTTGAATGCCCTAGTCTACACATGGTGACGTCTGTAAAAGCCAAACCTTACAGATTTTAGGGTCTAAGTCCTAAGGGCACTGAAGCACAGGTCCCCTTCCCAGCAGGTGCCAATGTGTAGCATCCACGGAAGCACAAAGCCTCCAGACACTTAATCACTGTGATGGTTGCTCTCATTATTATAAAGTGGGGAAGGTCTTTGATATGGAGCGAATGTGAAATGTCCTACATTATCTCATGATCCTTCACTCCCTGTGCTGGATAGTTTGATGTCAACTTGACACAAGCTAGAGTCATCGGAGAGAAGGAAACCTCAATTAAAAAAAAAATACCTGCATAAGATCAAGCTATTGGCAAGCATGTAGAGCATTTTCTTAGTTAGGGATTAATGGGGGAGGGCCCAGCCTACAGTGGGTGATAGCCTCCCCCCTGGGCTGGTGGTCCTGGGTGCTGTAATACCAGAAAGCAGGCTGAGCAAGCCAATCAGCAGCACTCCTCCATGGTCTCTGCTTCAGATCCTATTCCAGGTCCCTGCCCTGCTTGAGTTCCCTAAAGGAAGTGCAATAGAAATAAACCCTTTCCTCCCCAAGTTGCTTTGGATCATGGTGTTTTACCATAGCAATAGAACCCTAACTCAGACTGTCTGCTTAGGCAACAGAGTTTCAAGAAGTCGGGGAGCCCTTGGATGTGGGGTCTAGCCGGAGGTGTTTGGTCCCTGGGAGGCCCAGGACATTGTCCATCCAGTGAACGCAGTTCCTCACACCCCTGCTGAGTCCTCCTCCTCCAGCCAGGTCTTCTCCATCTTCTGAAAGCCCAAGGCCAAATCAACCCTTTTTCTTCAGTTGCTTCTTCTCCTGGGTTAGGGAACAGCCACAAGAAGAGCTAGAAAGTCACTATGGGTTGTGACCAGCTGTGGTTAACGGCCATCATGTGACCATGTGTGACCTCACAAGGGGCCATTGTGAGGACTGAGAGCTGTCCACCCATGTCAGGCGCGGGCTGGGGTGGAGCTGGTCCTTACACTGAGGAGAAGCTGGTGGGTGGCGGGCAAGCGGCTGGACTTTCTCCAGTTCTGACAGAGGTGGGTTCTGTTAATCTTCTGGAAGACACTGGCGTTCTGTTCTGAGCTGAATGAACATGGTGAGTGTTCCCCGATTCACTCGTTTGGGTTTGTGAGGTTTGATTTATATTTTGAGTTGTAGAATTTGGCCTGAAGTTTAATTTGTGAGTTACTTCAGTTTAGTTTTTTTTTATTACACATTTTTCTGTTCTTAACTATTGATTTCCTTTCATATTTTAATTTTTTTCCTATCTTGAAACTTCTGTTTGTAGCCGGATGATGGCAGCACACACCTTTAATCCCAGCACTGGGGAGGCAGAGGCAGGCGGATCTCTGTGAGTTCAAGGCCAGCCTGGTCTACAGAGTAATGGCCAGGGCTGCTACACAGAGAAACCCTGTCTTGAAACACAAAACAAAACAAAAAAAAAAACCCTTTCGCTAGTTAATATTAACTGTACAGTGTACGGCATTTCGTTACAGCACACACCTTGATCATATCCACTTTTAGTTTTTCCCTCCCCTCGGTCTTCTCATTGGCTTAAATGTTTCCCCATCATGTCAAGCCTCTCCCCCTCTGCCATGTCACTTTGACCACAAAAAATGCCCTGGGGACTAAAGGGATAGCACAACTTGTCACAGCATCGCAGTGTTAGGGAGGAGCTACCGTACCTTTGATGCCCACAAGCAGGAGTTTAAGAAAAAAAAAAAATTATGTGTACAGATGATGAGGTCTGTAGTAATCAGTTATTAGAGAATTTTAGGGCCCAGTTTGAAGGTCCGTCAAAGCCGCCAATGCATTCACTAACTAGTCAGTGCCCATGTCTCCAACCCAGGGAAGCCGGAAGCTCCTCGGGTGCCTTCATTGTTCCTGCTGCTCTTATTAAAGTCAAAATGTCCTTCGGTTTGAATGGGAAAGGCCCCATACCACCTCGTGTGTTTGAATGCGGGTCAGTTAGAGGGGTTGGGGGCCTGCCCAAACCATGTAGCCAGCTGCTTCAGACCAGTTCCCTGAGCCAGGAGTCGCCCCACCTACCATACTCTGCCCATCGTCTGAAAGCCCAAGCCGAAGCAAATCCTCCCTCCCGCGGCTTCTTGTCGGAACTGAGCACCACCATGAGAAAATAACTAATACCGTCCTTGGGGACAGATGGTGAGAGAAACCACTTTGGGTTCTTCCCTGCTCCTCTTGGTCCACCCCTTGCTGTGACAGAACCACTGAGAGGAACATAGACCGGGTCAAGGGTGGAAAACCAGCTTTGTGGCGCTTGAACCACCAGAGGGAGCCAGGCCAGAACTCCAGGCAGCTGTGAGCCAGAACACTGTTGCCTGTTGGGACACCAACTGGAAAGAGGGCAAACTTTCCCCCAAGAGCAGAGTGGGAGGCTGCCTGCGGGGCACAGCCAGTCACGAGGAGAAGAGGGCCTGTTCCCCACAGACACTGGCGTGTGCCAAGGTAGACCAGGGAGCTGTGCCTCAAGCCATCTCCCAGGGCGTGAGCCAACACACAGCCAACAATGTCAGGGCCAAGAATAGCAGGAAGCCATGATGGCCACGGGGGCGGGGTGGGGGGGGAGCGGGGATGCAGCTCTCAGCAGTAGGGTCTTTGATGGGCCCTGCTAAGGGTGGTGTCTGTAGTGTTCTCCTGGGCACTTTCCAGGTTGAGAGAAGCTCCCTGGAAGGAGCAGCCCTTACACCTTGTGCTGAATGGAGGGGGCTGATCTCTGGCTGCACTGCTGAGGGTGACATCGAATCCACTAGGCGTGGCCTGTGGGAGAAGAAAGGCTCTGAGGCCTCACAACGGTCTGAGTTGAAAGAAGAGGCACATAAGGCAGCCGAACGAGCCTCCCAAACCCCCAGGTGTCACTGCTGAAGGTCAAAGGGTGCTTGAGAGACTGCAGAGGTGTGATTCGAGGGGGGCTCCTGGTTTCTGTTTTAATGGATAGCAGGTCTGCACCCCGACATTCTGTCCCCAGACCGTTGTGGAGCACCAGGTCTTAGTGACCAAATAATGGGAGTGGCCAAATCATCTTCTGCCAGCATGGCATCAAGTCCCTGCTGTCACAGGCCCGCCGCCGCTGCACCACATCGTGCTCCCAAACCATGACCACCAGGTGCGTGGTCCCACATGGGACACAGGGCCAGAGACACCAAGCGGCTGGCTTGTAGAGCCAGAGCAAGTGTGGCCAAGCAGGTGACCACTGAGCCAGTCCTTTGATTTGTAAAGCCAGCATGTGGGGAAGGGGGTTGCATTGTCAGGGAGGGAGTCAGTAGGGAGAAGCCGAGCAAATCAGTGGATCTGACTGGGTGGGGCGGTCTGAGAGACCTGAGTCTTTGGGAGGCACAGACGGAGGTCTAACCCAGAGGCTGCTGGCTTTCCTGTGTGTGTGGGGGGGGGGGGGGGGGGGGGGGGGGGCTGTTGGGGAATATTATTTTAAGGTGTGTTACTTTTGTTTATGGTGCATTTGTTCAACTCTGTGAAGCTGTTTTACTGTGCCTGTGTAAAACACCTGATGGTCTAATAAACTGGCCAATAGCGAGGCAGGAGAAAGGATGGGCAGGGCTGGCAGACAAAAAGGATAAATAGGAGAACTCTGGGAGAAAGAAGAAAAACAAGCAGCCAGAGAAACAGGGGCCAACCACCCAGCTACACAGCAAAGCCACAGAGTAAGAAATAATGAAAAGTATGCAGGAATAGAAAAAGTAAAAGCCCAATGGCAAACGCTAGATGGGATACGTTAAGAAAAACTGGTAAGAAACAAGCCAAGCTAAGGCCGGGCATTCATAATTAAGAATAAGTCTTCATGTGTGATTTACTTGGGAGCTGGGTGGCAGGCCCCCCAAAAGAGTAAAGACCCCCAACACAGAGAGAGGGCCCCATCCATGCTGTTCAGGAGACACTGCCTGTTCCTTTGAACTCTTACCCAAGAGAAGTGGGTGTCAAGCTGACGAAGCCAGCCTGCTCACCCATTGCTTGTCTAAACTGTCCCTTCCTTTCCAGTGGGGAGAGGATTCTGTTGCTAGGAGCTACTGTGTACCAGGCTTTTAACACATTTTTGTAGCTGGAGTTACCTCCAGTCCCGCCTGGGCCGGCAGCCACTCAAATTCAAATAAACACATAGATGCTTATATTATTTAAACTATTTGGCCTACTGGCTCAGGCTTCTTGCTATCTAGTTCTTCTATCTTAAATTAACCCATTTCTATTAATCTATACCTTGCCACGTGGCTTGTGGCTTACCAGTACTTTATACATCCTGCTCCTCATGGCGGCGGCTGGCAGTGTCTCGCTGCCTCTGCTTTCCACCTCCCAGCATTCTCCTCTCCTTGTCCCATCTATACTTCCTGCCCAGCTACTGGCCAATCAGCACTTTATTTATCAGTCAATCATCCACAGCACATTTTCATGTAGCCCACAGACATTGACCTCAGAGGATACATTGTGGATTTTCTAAGAGATGCTAAGTAGCTGTTCTTGGGCACAAAAGGTTTGGTCAAGGAATCTTAACCCTTCATAGTCAGACTTTTGGTTCCAGGCTTGATGCCCTTTGTGGCCAGAGGCTGGGAACTTAGAGTTGAGGGGTCAAGTCCAGAACTGTCAGGAGCCATCTTTTCTTTCCTTGAAACTGTGGAGCCATGTGTTCTGTGTGGAGGCTTCTCCTGAGAGAAGAAGGGAGATGGAGGGCAGAGTATGCAGGACCAGTCATGTTGGTGAGGAGCTGTTTAGGCAGTGTGTGCCCAGAGCTGCAGAACAGCCAACTCATCCCTGCAGACAAAGTCCACTGAGGAGGCCCTGCTGCTCTCTACCTGGGCCACATCACAGGGAAGGAGACAGGTATTGTTCTGCCTCGTTAGGCCCGGAACTCCAGCCAAAGTGAAGGTGGTGTTCTCTGCAGAGCTGTAGGCCTTGGACACAGGGAATAGGAAACTTTGTACCTGATTATCCACTTATCTAGAATGCTCTTTCTCTCTCCTCATCTAAGTGGATGGTCTCTCCTTCATTCAGCCTGAAGGGCTTTCTCTCCGGAAAGGAGCCATAGCCAGGTCAGGTCTCCTATCTGAAATTAGTTGCTGATAATCAGAATGCATCGTTCATGCCTGTTGTGTTTAGAAGACACTGAAGGTAAATATTAAGGGTTGTCATGTTGGAGAGTACAGAGCCAAAATAAGCAGAGATGGGACATAAAGAGTGGAGAATATGTAATACTTGCAGCAGCTTAGGAGAGCATGGTCTTCATTCTGAAGGCACCGTCCTCCTTGAATATAGAAAGCATGGGGGTTTTATTCACAGAGCTTCGATGTATCCATGGATGGGGAGGTCCATTCTTGAGCATGCTCAGTAAAAGGATATACTACATCCCTGAGCATGCTCAGTGGAGGAGGCCATCACATTCTTGAGCATGCTCAGTTTAAGGTCATGATGCCCATGCTTGAAAGATTAAAATGATAGAAATGTTCATGGCCATGGCCGTGCTCAGTCTCCAGTGTAACTCCAAAGCTGAAACCAGAGGAGGGGACACTTGGGAGGTACAATGACACAGGAATCTGTCCAAGAAGATGCTTGCTTTGGTTCACGGCTGACAGCACCACCATGGACATGTGATCCTGTACTGCCACCTCTAGGACACAAGACTCAGGGCATTGTTTGAGCCCGGGAAGCCACCTCTACTAGACTTCACATTCAAAAACAGCTGGTGAGCCATGTCCATCCACATCACTCACTGGAAGTAAGAGTGAAACGCAGTTATGACATGCCAGGAAGCTTTGAATGAGAAGTCTGTGTCCGTCTGGCCTTTGGGTCTGGTCTCTCTATTCCTCTGCAGGGCTTGCAGGGATGCTGCTGGAGGCCTGAACATCCCTTTTGTGAGAGTCTCTATTTGCTCTACACCCTCCAGTTTCAGGGAAGTTTGCCCCTCCTTTGGCTTGTTCATGACTCTGCCCCAGTCCTGGAGTGAAGTGTGGGTGCCCTATTCACTGACATAAGGCTCAGGGAGCCCTCAGTCTCCATGATGGACCAAAGGCAGATTGCAGTGTGATGGTGTGTGTTTATTCATAACCATGTATGGCTTATTTCTATTCACGG